ACTGCTACTGCTACTACTGCAACTACGATGACGACGACGGCGCCTGAGGCGACAACGACGACACCAGCTGTCACACTGCCAGCAATTGATTGTGGTACCAGATTTGCTTCCGATCAGGCCCAGCTGCAGCAGGCGAGCCAGGAGGCCCAGCAGGCCGCGACTGAGGCGCAGCGGCATCTGGCGATGCTTGGAAGAATCCGGATGTTGCTGGTCCATCCTCTGATTGTTCCCGATATAGCTCTCAGGTGGCAATGTCGCCGTGTGGGTCCCTGCGGGGGTGATTTGGGATTCAGAGACTGCAGGCTGCTCTGGATGAAAAAACTACACTTTGTAACTTCTGCGGGATTGTGGGTGGTGCTGATGATGGTGAACCTGCTGTTGTTGGCCTTAGGTCTAAATTTTTCGTGCATGGTGTGCACTGTGGTTCTGGGTTGATCCGGACTGGTGCACCATTGCTGGTTTTGGAATAATGGGTTGGGACCTGCCTAGATAATTTTCGCCAAACATGGGCGTTCGAACTTCATCTAGTTTCTCAAGGCAAGCCTGACGCCGCAGCAGAGAGCTTAAAACGATGAGAAAAATACAGAGACTGACGACATGGAGGAACAATCCTTCGTTTCGGGATTGCCTGCGACTCAGGAAGAGTTTGACAACTTCTCTGGATCAGGCCGAGGACACTGAGCGGGGTGGTTCAGACTACAGTATATGCTTGCAAGGTCGTTCATGACACGGTTGGGTTGAACATGTCAGTCCGTGCTTTCCCACGAAATAGACAATTTTCTTGACATGCTTGCAGATGCGGTTCAACAAATCAGCCGAGCATCCCCGGCGAGATGGCGCCCCGCTATGTCTCGGCCGACACACCGGTGGAGCACGTCCGGGTCTACGTCGATGGCCTGCAGGGCCAATTGCGTTCCCGGGCCCTGCGCGCAGCTGAAAGGATAAAAAAGCGACCTCCGACACTGGGCAAGTTGGATGCAGATCTCAATGCAGTGGCCGATGAACTCGGGGATGAAGCGATCGTTGAGGTGACGGCGGGGCCGCGGAAAGGCATAATATGCGTCACCCTCCGCCCAGAGCATGGCGGCCACCTCACTGCAGGGGCTGGACGGGGTGGCCGGGACGTGATGTTGCCCGGATCCGCTTTGTCCTTCAAGCTCGACGGCACACCGGCTGCCGCAAGAGGCCCACCTCCCCTTCGGGTTTCTGCCCAAGGCGAGTGGAATCTGGGGCAAGATGGATTGGGCTGCTGCCTTACGGTTGCCCCCCTGTTCGGGACTGGAGCATGGCGCCTCCTCCCCAGCGTAGAAATGGGTGCTGGTCTTGGCGGGCTCTTCGGCCTCATATGCCCGAAGTCTCAGCACAGCTACCTCCAGGTGCCCAGATTCCGAATAGCTTTGGAAGCGCTTTTGTATTGTCTGTCGTTGCCTCTGTGGTTGATTGTAATATCGAAAGCTAGAAAAATAAGACTGTTCGCATCCCCGAACCCAGGAACGCAAGCAACGCAAGCAAATCTAAATCGGAAGCTATCTGAACCTGATTGAAATGTATATTGAATTAGCATACTGACTCGTTTGTTTGTATGCATGTATGCATACACATCCGTCCGTCCATCCATCAATCCATGCGTGCACACATGTACTTACGTAACGACGCTTAGTCGACTTCTGTTTCCTGGTGTGTGGTTTGATGGCGAAAATGCTTGACTTAGATATTTCTGTGCACGTGTTGATTATTGCTAGAGGTTTTCACGCAGACTACATCAGCGCTTGTTTATGCTGCAGGTCTTTTCATGCACATGCATGAATAGGCATGGGGATATCAAGCAAGCACAAGAAAAATGATGCCACGGAGTGCGGCATGAATCGATCCTTCGAACACACACACACACGCACATCTGCGCATGTGTGTGTGTGTGCATGCACACATACGTACGTAGATGCATCTGCCATTGCTGTGGTGTGTTTGTAGATGTGTTTGTACATGCAAATATGCAGTTGTCGCTTTTCGGCCACAATGCTTAATATACTTCAGTACAGCAGCTGCTCAATTGGTGTGTATTCTATCATATCTGTTTGTCAAGCATGTCATACATGGTGGAACCTGGCATCATCTAATCATCCCTACAACAGAAGCACATCGTACATGAACTATCGTAGAGTCTAAAATGAGTGAGCCCCAGGTGTGCTTGACAGATCCACTTGGGAGGCACAAGACTCGGTTGCGTGCTTCCTCTCGGGACCTGCGGCAAGATGCTTCGCTCCTGGACGTGCCACTGCAGTCTTCGAAGGCATCGGTGTCCCATCAGTTTTTGAGCCTCCGCCTTTTGGAAGCGTTGCGCGAAACCCTTGACCACGATCTCAACCCAAAGGGTTGAGCCCAAGGTGCCCTTACTCTTGCCTTGCAGTGCACGACGATTTAGTGAGAAACTAGCGGACGTTCCATTTGTTGTTGTTTGTCTTTGCCTGGTTGGTCGTATGACAATGAAGTTTTGTGGTAGTAACAGTAGCAGTAGTCGTTGTTGTGTCAGCAGCAGCACGAGGGGCGGAGACAAAACCGCTTGAACGGGTGCAGATAGTCCGACCGACTTCAAGGCATCGCCGTGTGAAACTGTCGAAACTGCCGTTGCTCGACGGGAAACAGTGAATCAGGACTCGAGCCAATCATTGCCCGGCAAAGTGGTTTCTCTTCTGCTGGGAGAGTAAGCGACAATCGTACTTATAGGCAGAATCATCAAGTTCACCGATGTGAAGAGCCCAGGAACAGCTACGGACAGGAAGATGATGGTGGTCAGCTGGGAGCATCCTGTGAAGTTGCCGGTCTCCTTGGCGACGTCCAGGTGCACCGAAGGATGTTGCGGGTCGTAGGTGCTTGGGCGGCTGCCCAACCTTGGGTCCCAACGACGGAGATGGGAACCTACGGTTCCATTGTCTCCGATTGTCTTTGTGAGCTCTTACGTCAGCCAGACTAACGGTCAAGCCAAGGATGCTCTCCTTTTTGTGGGAGGATGCTGGGCATAGGCTTACGTCAGGCTGCTGAACTGACCGAAACCCTAGTTTTTCTGCCGCTTCTGCTTCGCTACGCAACTGCCATCATTCAACGTATATGGCATATTGGTGGTTACAAACATGCGTTTTTTCCTCTCACACCCGCTGCGAGCTGATTGCTGGCCACGACTTAATCAAGCAGTCTTTCATCATTTGAAGCTTTCTTGGAGCTGCAGAGCTCTGATGACGACGCTCCGAACATCAGACGTGGCACAGGTCGCGCGAGCTGAAGCGGCTTGGGCTCGCTGGGGCAGCGGCCTGGGCGCCGCCTGGCAGGTGCGACAGCGGCGCTTACACTGACTTGTCCGAACGTCCTCAACTCTCGGACCCGAGACGCTTCGGGCAACAGCCCTTCCGCCCCCAAGCCCTTAAGCTCAGACCAGACCGAGTCAACACGACCCGGACTTCAGGGTTCAGTGCCTTGGGCGTTTCAACTTCCCTTGTTCCCGGTCCCAAAGACTTCAACGATCCATGCAGGTCTCTGCAAGTGCAGCCCTGGCCTCACCACTCAACGCAGCCACCATTCCTTGGGAGGAGCTACATCTCATTCGTTCTAGTTACATTTCTAGTTCTATCGAGGAGGAGGGAATGGAGCAGCAGCATGCAGCAGCAGCAGATTTTCTCACAAGACATGCAGTCCTCATCCCACCCGAAACCCTGAAGCTCCACAGCCAAAAGTGTGAAATGCACTCCCGAAAAGGAGCGGCTCTTCCTGGGAGGCGTGACAGGCCAGGGTCCTGGGGAGACTTCGCCGATACTGGCTGAGGGCTCGAGGACTCTACGAGTTTATGGGGGCCTTGTTTGGGTATCTACGATATCTACCAGTCTTCTTTCCCAGATCTGTAATCTCAACTCCCCTACGTAGCTATCTGCAAGCCCAGTCTTGCGCTGCGAAAAGGCCGGGGATCGCAAACCGATCCGCAAGAGCAGGCCCCTATATACGTGCTGAGGAAAGACTCCTTGGCTTCGGACCTCACGGATTGGGCCCGGCCAAGCGCAAGGAGCGGGAAACAGAGGCGCCATGTTTCGGAGGTTCAAGGATCTGAGGTCTGGGCTTGTCGGTCTTGGATGTTTACGGCGGGTCAAGCAAGTTTGCGCGAACTTGTTGTGTTCCTTTCGTGGGCCGCCTCCCCCGTACGCCGGGTTTGTGAGTGTTGAAGCAAGGCTCTGGTGTGCCCTTCGCTTCCCTTCATCTTCAACCCTGGCAACCGACACCTCCCCCAATCCCTGACCTGCCCTACACTGATCCAGGCCCCGCGATTTGGCCTGGTGAACGGCTTGGGAGGGCTCAGGAGCGATGGGTGTTGCGGTTTAGGCTTGTAGAACCAGTACCCGAGTATTTGGGATTGAGGCTTATGCCGAAAGTTGTGCACTAGGGCCACTAGGGCTCCGGAGTGACTGGGTGGCAGCAGAAGGGACAACACCAAGACTGCGGATAGTACAGCATTATACAAACAGAAGAAGGATTGCAGTCCGTTGTAGGAGACAGAATTGAATAGTGAACAGTGGAATGCATCATCATCATCATCATCGTCATCATCATCATCATCACCATCATTACCAAAATCAGTTTGCACATTCACATAAGAAGGAACGTAGGTCCTCCGGAAGGTTCCAAGGAGTGAGAATTTGCTCCAAACCATCGTCGTTGAGAAGTCTTTGACATTCCCAGTGTAACGCTTGAATTGCGTGCCATGTACCAGATTATATCCCACGACGTCCATGGCGGCTTCTACTATGCACAACAGCTGGGTGCAGGCTAATTTTCATAAGCAGCCAAAGACCATCCAGATTCCACAACAGGGTGCTGCTGCTGATCATGATGACGATGATTCAGAGAGCATCGCGATGATCCTTGTCGTCATCACCATCTCATCAACACTTCGTGATGATAGCGATGATGCAGAGGATGATTTGGATAAGTTTCTTAAGCACAGTGCTGAGGTTGCATGATCTTTGAGTCTGCTGCGGCAGCAGGACCTATACTACTTCGGAGCCCACCCGAATCGAGACCGGTCAGACCACATTCCTTGGCGGGGACACGCGTGCCAGCGTCGAGGGTCCGGAGGGCCTTGGGCTTCGGATCTGCGGATAAGTAGTAGAAAGGCTGATCTTCGGAGCCATCGAATTTCATCGATGCTTAAGCTCCCATGGTTCAGTTGTTTCCCCGTGGGAAGGTTCCATGCGGTGGCCGGTGCCATTGGGTTTCGGGTCCAAGCCTCAGGACGGGGGGGACCTTGGCGGACCTAGATTGGCTACACGGTGGGTTTGCAGTTGGAGGCCATCTTGCTTTACTCCGCTCGTCGTTGCTCACATGTTCGAGCTCGGTCCAAAGTCATGGGTGTCTGTGCGCTCTGATAATCCAATGACTTTTTTCCGCCGCATGACAGCTTGAAGGCATGCTCAAGGAACCTAAAGACAGCCTTGGGCAAGCAACTGATTAATTAATGGAGGTGCTATCATCGAGGTTGGTTCATGAAGCTGTTTTTATTCGTTCCCACAGCTGCTGTTCAAAGCTCTGCCGCGCTCAAGGCTCCATGTCTTTGTCTTCGGGTCGGCCGGCATTCTGCTGGAGCGGATGCCGCTCGCTTTTGGTCGCCGCTTCCGGCCATTTCGAGCACAAATCCATCGTACAAGCGGTGTGAAAGTTCGCAGTGGACGCGAGGATTAGCTCAAACAAACTCGTCAAGTTGAGCATCAGCTGCTTTCCATCTGTCTCCTCCTAGTAGTCTGCCGCTTCTGGCCTTTTCCTTCCGGCACTCCTCTCTCCGGCGCCTGTAAGCCTCGAATCCTTGAACACATCCTGAACCTGTATAATCTCCTATCCTAAACCCTCCAAAGTTAGTGAATCCTCTAATCTCTGAGCCCCAATTACAGCCGTTGACACTAAACCCTTACTAAATGGCTATGCTTAGTGGCGTTGTTAGTTCTCAGACTTTGTTTATTGGATGTTGTGGATACTAAGGCAGACTTCGTCGGCTTCGGATGTCCTCCGCAACACACGGGCAACTTTGGGAATGGGCCTGGGCTGTCCCCTCCCTGGAGGTGCTTTGTTGCGGAGGGGTGAGAGGGGGGAAAGAGGATGAAGTCAGGGTTGCATAGCAATCTGTTTCAGGGATGACTTCAAGCTTCGATGCAAGCTGTCGGACTTGATGACTAAGCGTGGATAGCTGTAATGGAAGTCATCGAATGTGCGTTTTTTTGCTGAGTCGGCTGATTTTGAGTGTCTGGACTTGGGGTGTGGAGTTGGTATTTGTTGAATTTACAGCTCGAGTCTTTGTGTTTTCGGTTAAAGTCTTTGAACATTCTAGCTTGAGGGATGACGCTTGTCGGAATTCAGGATGCCTAGAAAAGGTATCGTGAATCGCTTCGAGGTCTGCAGAGGGCCGGTTGATTCTATGGCTTAGGTTTGGGCTCCCTGAAGGAGGACACATTGCCGCCACCTTCAGCCAGCCAGTGCAAGCCCTGAGAGGGGATATTGTGCAGGCGTTTCAGCTGTCCGTGTCTCTGAACAACTTGCTTTGAGACTCCTCCCGCTTTCAATGGCAGGAAAAAGCTGTTGGCTGCTCTATTTTAAAGGTCTGAGACAAGTTTCGCTGAGTACAGCCTTCTATGGTTGCTGGCTACGACTCTTTGGGAACGAACCTTCAGTTGGAAGCACACTGGAATCGACTTGGATCGACTTGGCCCATATACGTGTCTTGTGTTACGGAGGCATCCCCGGCCTCTGTTTGGGCTTAACCGTCTATGAAACCATTGCAGGCACGAAAACACCCAAGCGCGCATTTGTTTCCTACGCGTGCATTGCGGCGAGGACCAGCGCAACGATGCGCGAGTCGAGGAGCCTGATGATCGGTAGAGCTAGTGTGTAAGCAGACACCACGTCAGTCAGAGTTTCCATCCGAAATTCGGCTACTGCATCCCACCAGCTGTAGATCGAATGTTGCCGGCAGGGGATGCTTGTTGGTTTCATTCTCATGCTTTGTCTTGGGCTGCCTTTCCATCTGCAGGACCTGCAAGGGGAGCTCTCCCGGCTGGAAGAGATCTGCCAGCAGGAGCCAGGGCCAAGATCTGTCATACTGAAGTTTCAGTAATCAGTAATGTGAACTGACGGTGGAAATAACAGGGAGGCAGATCTGTAGCAACCCAGACAGTTCAGTCCCACGCCTCGGATTTGTCAGTGGACACCATGATGCACACGCTCAGAAACACGAGCACTTTGAAAATGAGAAAAAGCAACAGCACATCCGCCTTGTAAGCCTTCGGGCAGAAGGAGAGGACTGCCAACTCCGACGCCACCCGGGCCTACCAGGCCGGGCTGTGGAGAGACGCGGCACAAGTTTCTGGAAAGGCTGTGCAGGGCAGGCTTAGGACGTTTCCCGCCCAAGTAGGGTGTTGCAAATGGGTGTGGAGGCCGGGCAGGGGGTTTTAAAGAAACAGCTCGCGCTGGTCTGAAATCTCGACATCTTTATTCAGGGAGCAGCAACATTCCATCAGGTCCAGTTGGATTCGAGGTCTTCCATCCAAGACTTAACTCTACCTCAAACTGCAAGGGATGCAATAAAGACCTGGAGCTTGATTGCTGTCTGCTTCCCATGCTGAGCCAAGCCTTGAGGGAAAGGGGTTTGACCCTACGTGCATTACAGACGGGTTTTGGGATTTGTGCGCTGGGCCTCCATGCTACTGTAAGTTCTCGCAGGGAAACCAAAGCTTTCCGTCCCCATTTGGACTGCGGCCCGACGCCTGACGCTTCCTCCGTGAAGGAGCTCAGGAGCGCAAGTCGCACACTGTGCGCCCGGTATGGCATCGCCTGGGACGAGGAGGCCTGCGGCATGCGAACTGGAGAGCTGAGTGCAGTAGCCCTCGCGGCCCTCGTAGCTGCACGGCGTCTCGCACAAGCTGAGGCCAACGGTGCCTTCATCCTGTCGAGCATTGTGACGTGGTCAGAATTTGGAAGGGTACTGCGAGCTTTCCCGATCCACTTTCGCATCTGCAGTGCTTCACGTGAGACAACTCGATCCCAGAGCAGGTCAGGCAATGCAAACTCTTCCATGATGAAGAGGATGACAATGACCATGACGGTGATGGGAGTATTGAGACACATGATGGTAGAAGGAATAGTGCCACACCGTGCCGTGTTTATGTAAGGAACAGGAGCTGCAACGGCTTCAGTCGGCGGATAGGGACCAAGAGCAGGAGAGACGGGACTGAGCCCCAGTGGATTTGCACCTGGTTGTTTGCGGGCAATGCTTCGTCTTCGCGATTTAGTTGTCAAGGTGATGTGCGATAGCTAAGCTAATTTGATGGCGGTTGTTTGTCTTGCAGCTTGCATTGGAGAAGTTGCAGGCGCAATTGTTGATTTACAGAAGGCATGTGTTTTGAACAGATAGAAGTGTGTGGAGCTCATTCGGACCCGGGACCGGCAGCTATGAAAGACGACATGAAGCCGTGGGCCTCAGTGAAACATTATGTCACGAGTTTGTTGAGCAGAACCACACGAGTTCAGTTAGTCTTTGTTTCTGTAGCTGGCAGCCCTTGTGCAAGAACTTGACATCACTTGATGCCGGATACCACATCTTTCAAGATCATGACGTGACTAACCGCATGCGACGCCTCATAAGAAGAACATGTCTACCGGAAACGGTACATGAAACTGAGGGCTAAGCACAGTATCCCATCTCCTTTTTCTGTGTTCAGGCCCTGAAGCAGAAGCTTGCAGAGCTCCAAGATGAGGCCACGGCACGAGCCATTGCCAAATTGAAAATGGAAAGTAATGGCGTGGGATTGCCCTGACGACGACATGATACTGGGCAGCGACAGACCCCTTAAATTTGTGACATGCCGCTTCAAGCTCTGATGCATTCGATTTCTCGTTTCCTCGCTTGGGTTGCAATCCTCGAATAGCTGGTTCGGTCACAGTGTGATGGTTGCGTATTTGCTGCGCGGTTTGTTCGCATGTGCTGATTGCAGACCACCATGCACGCTCACAGTTAATGGGTTGCATCAGAGTACCCTGCAGTACAGAGACTCGAATCAGATCTGGTTGGTGCTCACCACACCTTTCGAATCTGTAGGGTTATGGATTCAATCTGGTTTCGGGTTTGGATCGGAACTTGCAAACGAGTGTGCCGCTGCTCAGGAACAGCAGGGTGTTTTGTTCATCAAGACTTGCTTTCAGCATCCTGCTAACATGTTTCCATCTCTTCAGGCCAAGATCCTGAAACAAAGGGGGGCCTAAGTGCTCGAGCAATTTGTCACTCTGTTCCGTCTGAGTTGCAGCGGCGTGCTTCGCAAGGCCCAAATCAAGTCAGACTGCTTTCGCTCCCAAAAAAATGTAAACACGAGTTAACACACGACGCGGTTGACAGGTGGGCGCCCTGCACTCATCCAAGCGGGAAGCAGAAGATAGGCGTGCATGAGAGTTGCCTTGAGAGAGGTCTGGGCCTGCTCTTGGAACAGGATGGTTGGCATGTGGCATGAAGGATTCGCAGATAAGTCTCCCCAACAACTCAAAAGGATGTGCAGGCTCCTCCCAATGGGCAGAGCTGACACGTAAATCGCACTGGCTATCTATCAATCTGTCTGAATGTCCAACGAGCCACGACACCATCCTAACTACAGGGCCTGCCTGTGCACCTAAAGCCTACAAAACCAAATCGTTCGTTGGCTCCGCGTCTTGTCAACGGTACTACTTAGCAGCGTATTTGATTCTCTGCTTCCTTCATGTTGACTCGTGCAGTCTGTAGTCTCTTCTGTTGTGACCATGAGCAGGACAAACAACTTTCTATCACCATCACCATCAGTATTCGCAAGGTGCAAGCAGCTGCAGGTGGAGGTGCAGCAGGCCATGCCCCTTTCGCCCTAACAGCCCTAGCAAAGCGGTCTTCCGACTCAGACATCGAGGGTCAGGGTCCTCGCTCGAATGGGGTTTTCACTTGGAGCGAATCCCTCGAACATGAGTTTGCCCAGCACTTTCGATGATCTCGAGCAATGCGTCTCAGTCACCGTGCAAGCTGGAGTTTCAAGTGGCAGCTATGATCTTGTTGCTCTTTTGTGGCCTCACTTGCTCCGCCGCCAGCCAATTTGGCAAGAGGCCGCAGGCTGGGTTTTGGCTGAGTTTCCAAGGCAGCTGTAGAGGCGTCCCATGATGGCTGGGGCAGTCGGAGGGTCGTCAGCATGTCGGAGCTGAAAAAGATGCGAGCCCCCGCATGAACAGCGCCAGCAGTCGGGCCAGGTAATTTTGCAAGAGTCGAGTTTCCACACCATCTTGGTGGGAAGACACCATCCGGACCCGGAGGGGAAGCAGCTTGCCGTAGTCCAGCATGCTGTGCGTGGCTTCACTTCTGGTGCGCTCCCGAAGGAAACAGAGGTGGTCATGACATTCTTCCCTGGGAATGCAGTGAGCGAAGAGCAATTCGGGATGGGTATGTTTGGCTGGACTGGTTCTGCATTCCGCAAGATGGGAAGCAGGATCCTGACCGGCTCCGAGCCATCAAGTCGATACCGATACCATCCTGTGTTGACTCTTGCAAGGTGTTCGTGTCCTTAGTCCCACGTGTTCCTCACGAATCTGGAAACCTCCCTACTTCTAGCAATAAGCCGTCCTCGTGTTCTTTTGAATGCAAGGTTGTGGTGGGTGCCCCGGTTCCCGTGCCCTGACAGGATGTTGGAGGTCGAGGAATCTGTCTGGACTGGTTGCCGATGCTTCTTCTTAAGTTTTTCGTCCCAAATATTTCTCCGCAATCGTGCGCCCAGCGTTGCCGGCAAAAGCGGGCGAGGCAACTGAAACCTCAACATCCCCAACCCACAAGCATGGGTTGCTGTTTTATGCGCCACTGTCCACCGAGTCCGCCTCCACCGTGTAGGCAGAGAACAGTGTCAACGCGAAAGCGCTGCAGCTTGAGTCCGTGACCTGGCTTTTGGGGTTCCGAACGGATCCTAAAAGTGAGTTCTTCGGTTGGTGCAATGCCGGAATGCCGCCCCTAGCTTCAGGGGACTTGGGGTTGAGGTCATGGAGTCATGGCAGCTCCAGAAGATGTCTGACCAGAGTTAGTACCTTGAGGGTTTCGGGATGTTTACATCCGAATGCTGAAGCCCCACAGATGAAGGGCAGGAGCCCTTTGACTTTGGCCCTGAACTCTCCTGAGCTGTGAGGTCTCAGCTCAAAGACAGCGAGCTTCAGCAGGTGCAGGCGTTGGATGAGGCAGCTTGGAGCGACGTTGCGTCTTGTATAGGACTTATGACTTATCCTTGACTTTGATGGTGCAACCTCGACCAAACGTGGGCAGGGCAGCCTACAGGTTGTTTAAAGCGACCAAACGTGGGCAGGGCAGCCTACAGGTTGTTTAAAGCATAAGGCCGACATAAGCCCCGATATTTTGCCAGTATTCATGGACTTACACCCTACACCATGAATCTGCATAAGGTTTTTCAACTCTGGGGCTCCGAATTCCGGAATTCTAGATACTGAACCACAGAATCCTCCCTCACATGCTAACCTCAGGAAGTCCGTTGCCTTTAGACTCGCGCCTCGTTTGATGCAAGCGGTCCTGTGCCAGGCCCGTGCCGAGGCAGAGAGCTGCCTCCGCCGAGCCGAAGCAGCCGAGGCACGGCTGAGCGCAGGCATCATGCGCACGACAACGAAGGACTGTAACTCAAGCTGTTTGGCCGATAGCTTTGCAGAAGTTTACGATATCTACAGAATGTGTTTGTGCCTATCTGTGTGCATGTCGTGTCGCTCTCTCTTTGTCCCTCTCCCCCTCCCTCTCTTTGTGCGCATTCGCGTGTGCGTGCGTGTGCACGACTGTCGCGTTCTGTCTCCTCCTCCTCCTCCCTCTCTCTCTCTCTCGCTCTCTCTCTCTCTCTCTCTGTCTCTCTCTCTCTCTCTCTCTCCTCTCGCTCTTTTCTCAGAGAGAGAGGAGAGAGAGAGACAGAGAGAGAGAGCTGGTCCCCCCTCCCTGTCCATAACCCTGCCGAAAGAAAGAGAGCTCTCTGCCCCTAACCCTGCCGAAAGAAAAACAAAGAGAGAGAGCGAGCGAGCGAGGGAGGGAAGAAGGGAGGGAGAGAAAGAACGGAGAAACTCGAGAGGAGGGAGGGAGGCCGAGGGGGACCAATCAGGTCGAGCTCCCAGACCACATGACTACAGTGACTGCACCCAAAACCAGCAACGGCAGGCACAGGCCGGATCCCTGCAGGCCACGGCTGCCTCCTCAATTATTGATACTGGAATGTCTTTCACCGGAGCATTGTCCGTGCGGTGGCGCTGAATTTGTCGGTGGAGGTGCTAAGATAACTTGTCATTGCCAGCATTTGCGCTTCTTGTGTCCTACGCCCTGTTGGTGAAGTGCCTGTTGGACACACATTTGGAATGAAGAGACATGAGTTCCGACCTGAAGAATTCTCCTTTGTCCTAGGTTACGAACCTGTCTGCGCAGCTCACGCAGCTCGAGGCTGCTGTGGAGCGAGGATTGGCGAGTTGCTGTCCACGGCACATGCTCACTGACAGGCTCGTTTCATGGAGGAGCAACTCATACGCAAGAAATACCACAACCAGATCCAGGCCGGTGACTCCAATTACTAGTTTACTAGTGGCAGCACACAGGCGTTGAAGGTTGCAGTTCAGAACTTTCTGTGGAACATGAGTGCTCGTCTTCTTTCCGTTTGTTGTCTTAGCTGGGCAAGGCAGGTTTCACATGTTTCAGTGGTTTTCCGAGGTTTGCCGTCTCCATGAGGTGATTACGAATAGGAACACGACTGGTTCTTACTACTGCCAGATACCAGTGCTCAGAGTAACAGCAGCCTCTTGCTCCTGCCACAGTTGCTCCCTCTCATGCTTCAAAGCCTGTTCGAGCCGTCTCGAACACAGTGAGCCAGTGACCTCAGTCTTTAGGTCGCGTGAACCATTGCTGCATCCAAGCACGATGCTTGAGCATCTCGAGGACATGAAGGGCAACATCCGGGTTTTCTGCCGCTTCCGGCCTCTGGGCAAAAGGGAGCAAGAGAACGGCGACATCCCGGTCCTACACAAGGCAGGACAAGGGAAGGGAAGCTTTTCAATACAGTCTTGCAAGAAGGTCCCCTCCATCGAACTCGCTCGGAGACCTTAAAGCCTTCTCACAACCTTTCTCAGACACAGAGATCGAGTGGTAGAGGTGTGCTGCATGGATCCCGTCGCCCTGGTGTGCCTTGAGCTTTTGCTTCTAGAAGAAGAGGAAAGGGCATGAGATCATGAGCCTCGAGGCAGATGCCTTTTCTGTGGACTTGCAGCGTCCGGCTCCCCACAACGATTCTCGACGCTTTGAATTTGATGCTGCAGGAGGCTCAGCCAGGTGTTGAAAACTGAGGCTTCGCGGGAGGAAGTCACGAGTTGCCGCTTCGCTTTTTAAGGCCTCAAAAAGAAGCGATGGCGTCGGTAAGCCTCAAACCGGATTCAGCCAACATCCCAGCCAACAACATATGTAATCAGGCCGAAGCACTGGAAGCTGTCAAAGGTAGCTGCTACCCCGAGGTCTTCAGCAGTGACTCTTCGCAGGAAGAGGTCTTCGGAGACTGCAGGGGGCTCACTCGTGAAGAGTACATGTGTGATTGCGGTTTGGCTCATAGCAAGGTCTACTGTTGCATGCACTGTTGTATGCCGCAGCCTGCTGTTTTCTGCTCGGCTGCGCACTTATGAGCAGATGTCTTTATTTGCTGGAAGACTGGCAAACGTCGCATGACTCTCTGCCACGATTGGAACTGCTGGGTTGTTTCTGTTTCGTTCTCAGTGACATCTTTTTTGTTTCGATGGGCATTGTGATCCGTAGCTACTTCAAACGATGGTGGGGCTGGTTCTCATGCTGGCCAGCAGGATCATCAGAGGAGGAGCGGAAGGAAGAGGAGGAGGAGTAGCAAGATTAAGCGTAAGTGTGTGTGACACAACTACAGTGATCTAGTAAGCATCCTAAGCCATTGTAGGGTTGTGAGGGTTCGGTTCCTGCTTGGATCGCTGCCGGACTGGCTATGTAGTACGGCGCGTTCTTGCTGTGTTCGATTCAGGTCAGGATTTGGTCCAGAGTGCGGTGGACGGCTACAATGCCAGGTCCCAGGTCCTGGGAGCTGGTCAGTGGAGCACAGATAGGCTGAGACAGTGTAGTGTGTAATGTTGTCCGTCTGATAACAGTTATGAATAGATCATAGAGTAAGCTTTCTGGATATGATACCATGCCGCACTCTCCTGAGTACCAGCTAGGCAGAGCGGCAGTGAACTCATCCCCAGTCCCCAGCAAACCCGCAGATGTTTGATGCAAGAGCCGAGACATGTTCGGAGTCAATACCATTCCCGGCAATGAGTTTCTGAATTCTCGAGGTCTTAGCACACTGCCAGATCCTGCAACTATGCACCATTCGCTGTGCAGTGAGAACTTTCCGGAGGATCGCCCTGCACTCCGAACCGAAAAGTCCCAAGCCGCCGAAATCCTAAATGCAGCAGCCTGCCATGTAGAGACAGATGCTCACGTACTGGAGAAGGAGTCGACCTGCAGTAGCTGGAGTTACGCGGGGCTGGCTGCCAGTTCTAGAGTTTGTCCGAACGTTTTGGTTGGCCTTTGCGCGATCGGGGGTTTGGGTTGCCAGTTGGCCCACAAGTCAATCTCATGAATTCTTTGTCAAGAAAGCAAGCCCGGCAGAACGAGTGTTCGACGCAAGACCATTTGTCTCTGGAAGCCGAGTCTGACGAAGCTTCCGGCCCTAAACCCTAACGCTAAACTCCAAAGCCCCTCAACTCTTTCACTCCAAGAGGACTCCTCCGGAAGCCGTCTTTTGAACCCTGCAGCCACCTGGAGGGCCAAGGAGACCCCACTTTCCGCCCAGGTGACCATCTTCGCCTACGGCCAGACTGGAGCCGGTAAGATCGGCCCTTGGAAGCTTTCAGCCCGTCTAGGGGTTCGAGGGGTTCGGGCTTTCAAGGACTTGAAGAGCTGAGGACCTTTCGTTCTGCACCACCAAGCAGGGCAAGTGTTGCGGTGTTCGCGAGATCTTCACTGTTGGGGTCGGGTTGGCGAGCTGAAGCTCAGGACACAGTACAGTCTACGTTGGTCTTGTTTGGGAACCCTAAACCCTGTTGGAGCTGCAGCTGCGGGTTGTAGCAGCTAGGAAGGTCAGAGAGGCTGAGTAAAGACAAAACACAGGAGACTTGGCCCTCGGACAACCGTGCATTGCTCGGGGATCTTTCATCATTTTCACCAGCAGGCCCTGTGAGTAGCAGTAGTAGGAGTAAGCCGCTGAAGCCTCACGTCGCTGGCTCTGAGATCTCTGAGGACGCACACCATGTACGGGACCAGTGAGAATCCGGGTCTAGCACCACGCCGGCTCCTCGGTCGGCTCCTGGCCGGAAGATGAAAATCCCTAGACCCTGCAGTTTGGGTATTCTCCTTCGCTTGCGAAAGAGGAAACTTCAGAATGCGGCGATTTTCACCGATAGGAGAGATCCGATGACATGCGAGTTGCACGCGAGTTTCGATTGGAAGTCCACTGCCCGAAATCAACGCTGTTGGCATGACATCATGATATGACTCTCGAGCTGACCATTTCGGGCTGCTGTTGTCACCTCAACGAGACACACTCAAATTGATTGTCATCGTGTGATTCCTTCTTTCAATGAGTTGATGAAGCTGCTTGACCATCAGAATAGCATGGTCGCCGAGACATTCGTGCTCAGGATCTTTATTTCAAGGACTAGAAGAAGGGTTGCCAGAACTCAGCCTTTCACTTTGCCTTCCCTTAGGCACTGTGATGGACACGAAGACCTGCAAAGCCAACGTTTGTCCCTACGCAAATCCACTGGAAGCACAGAGGTGCGATCGAGTCCCTCTTCCGTGTGATCCGACGAGAAGAGGGGCAAGGCGAACATGTTTTCTTGTGCGCGATCAACGCTTGCTGTTGCATCTGTGCGGTGCCCTTCGAGGCCGAAAGAGCTTTTCTGTGAAGGCATACATGATCGAGTGGCTTGGCCTGCCCTAGATCTGTGCGGTACCATAACATAGCACCCGACACTCCCCAAATTGCTCGTGCGTCGGAGTCTCCATGCAATGAGCATCCTTTATGTCACTCCTTCCATACGAACGGAGCTCCAGCGCCGGACATTGCTGCAAATCTAGGGCTTGCACTGGCACAGCCTCGTGCTCCAGTCGTCTAGTGTGTGTTCTGTTCGCAGGATACAGCACTGAAACGATGCTTCCACACCTTCGGCAAGAAAACTACGACTGATGTGCTCAAGCTGTGCGATTCCCTTGCTCCATCTATTGATCGTTGCTCCGGATTTCCTGCGAAGGCATCTGAGGTTCCTAGATTTGCTGGATGAGGCTTAGGGTTACGCGCTTAGGAGATGCTCCACCGAGCTACTGAGGCTCTCTACTCTTTTCTCTTCGTTAGGCATCGAGTCATGAGTTCACGAGCCTCTAGCATCTGAATTCGGTGAAACGCACCGCCTCAAGCGCTTGGGGACAGGAAAGGACCTTCTTCAAAGGACCATCCACTGCTCGCGAGCCACTGAGGCTCTACAAGCAAGACATCATCGCCAGGCCCTTGGCTGCTTCGCCGTCACGGTTATGACCTGGTCGATGCATGCCATGACCTCTGCAGAGCGCACGGAATCATTCTCCAGTCGAGAAGACTGCACGCCCGAAGCTTCTCTCCTAACTTGGTTGTCTTGAGGATCTGCTCGTCGAGGCTCGGCCAAAGGATCAAAAGTCCTTGCAAGTGAAGAAGGACCTGCTGATGCCCCAAGCCGTTAATCCTCGGGCTCGTCATGTCTCCGACAGAGCCAGATGAAATCTTTGCTCCCGAGCTTTCGGTTCGCTGTTCATCTCAGTGAGCTAAGACTCGCGCGGGCTGTGCTTCAGAGAGAACTAGAATTGCCCACCATCTCCAAGCAAGTCGCCTACGAGAGCCCCTTCAAGCCCAACCTGGGAGGACGCAGGCCGGGGCATCATGTTCGTGGAGGCCTGACAGCGCTAGATTTTGGAAAGTCCCGCACTTGGGGGCCGCACCGTAGCCCTCGGCTCTCTTCTGCTGCTTCCTGTCGCTCGCTTCGCTACAGTATGCCTCCACTGCCTCCGCTGCCGCTGCAGGGCGTCAGCGAGCGTCCCATCACGAGCCCGGAGCAGCTTAAGGCCAAAAAGAGAGAGACAGCACGCGGCCTCTTCGCTCCGCGTCCACTTGGGCATGACCCCAAGTCCGGTGTGAAGCCCGGGCGCTAAGTTTGTGATTCGTCACTGGTACACACACTCAGTCCAGGACACGGCACCTACAACCGACGAACTCCATGATGCCACGCACTTGCTCCAAGGAGTAGTGACTAGTGTGCAGCAATCAAGAAATCCACATCCTACCAGCGCAGCATCTCTGACACAAGCTGCTGCATCCCCTATAGGTCCACAGTCAGAACCCGTCATGTCGAGACAAGCACAGGTCCCACTGCTGAAGTTCTGCGCGTTGAGCCTCAAGTGGACCAGCCGCGATCCGACGAGAAAACTCTTGAAGTGCAACGAAGCGCAGAGCCCTGCAGACTAACCGTTCCCATACTTTGGCTTGACCGCCACGGCACAGCCCGGAGGCGGTTCTGGCCGAAGGAGAGCGCCGGCGGCATGCAGCTGCCTCAGGACTGCCCCTGCAGGACACGGGGTCTTAGGGGCCTAGCTGCTCCCGGCGAGGATGCAGTGGCCGGAAACGACAATGTCGAATTCAGGAGTCTTTCAGGTTCCAGGGATAGAGAACCTGAATGTCGCAACTCACATGTTTCATCATGTTTCTGGGTTCCAAGAATCCCGGAATGTGCTCTCAAGCGTTGCTGGGGGAGTATGTTTTCAGAGCCATCTACCCTGGGGCTGAAGGTTCTAGAGGCCCGTGTGCACTTCACACTCTGGAAGCTCCAGACATGCCGTGTGATCAACGGTGTTCGGTTCAGAAAAGTCGCAACCCTGCAGAACCGCGAGCACTCACTTTATCAAGAGCCGTCGCGAAGGCTAATGTACACCCGTGCCCCAAAAGGGCCACAGACATCCCAGTACAGCCCAGACTGCGGCAACGGCGATGAATTCCAGCAGCAGCAGATCCCACTTGTTGCTGGCGCCTCAAAACTCCCACGCATGTGGGGCCTTTTGTTTGGCCTTGCGGTGTGGAGCCTTGTGAGTTCGGCTTCGAGCGAATTCCGCCGGAATACCGAACCTTAGGTTGTTGGTGGGTCTCTTCAGTGTTTGGAGCCTGCAGGACTGCAGGACAGAAAATCTTGTTATTCTTGCCGTGTCTGCTTAGAGTTTAGAGCTCCGTTGTTGTGGTGGTCACTGTATGTTAGAGGCATAAGAGCTACAACTCCGAGTTCTGCTGGTTCGATGCGTGCTGGCAGACAAGCTTTGGTGACGGTGACGGGTGCTTGGCTTCATTTCAAAGCCGGCAGACGCACAGTACACTCATGTCCTGCTTGAGACAGGAGATGAAGTCTTGCAGCAGAGTACATCACAGGTCCGATTAACGAGCCCTCATTCCCGGACATCTTTGTCAATCACTGGAGGCTTAGCATCATCGTCGAGGCTGCCGTGAAAGATACCGAGCAGGCCCAAGACACATCAGAGCGTGCACCTGTGCTGAAGGTAGTTCCGATACTGCCTACAAAAGAGGTATAGCCTTCTCTTTTGTGTGGGCTTTCTTCCGCATACAATCGCTATATGCAGCGAGTGATCGTCGGCATGCGGGATTGTCTGCTTGACCTCTGTCAGCAATCTCCGACGATGCTCGCGTACAGTCAAGTTTGTGATAAAGAATTCTCCCACATGACGACGTGCACCTTATCATGATCAACATTCAATCAAGTCACGTGTTCCGCAGCACCTGCATGGGGACGCCTCGCTGTCGTGAGAACTCGTATCAATTCGTCAACAGTACACTGCCTCCGAGCACGGAGTGATCTGCCTGTCAGCATTATGTTGACCCGAGCTTCAGAAGCGTTGACTGAACTGCAAAGTGTAGTTTGCCAGGTCATCTACGGCAAAATCACTTTGTGCGACTTGGCTGGCTCGGAGCGTCCGAAGAAAAGCGAAGTCAGCCCGAGACCCGGCTCTGGGTTCAGGCTTTGCCTGCCACTGTCACGAGGACTTCTACACTAATACTACTGGGGACGGGATTTCAGCAAGTTATGTGCACTTTTTAGAGCCCTTTGCAATGTCGTATGTCTTTTGGTTTTTGGCGGCAGCGTTTCGAGTCTATTACAGTTCATCTGCAGGCGCTTGGGCGACAGACAGGGCCACACTGACGAAGACAAATTCCCAATGCAAACCCACGCGACATCTACACATCTACGGCACTGCTCGACATGCTTCGGCATGACCGACCGAGGTGGGGAGGCTCTGAAAGAGGCCATCGAGATCAACAAGAGCCCCCTGCCTAGTTAGTTGTGCAGCCGAGCTTCTCGGATTCTGATGCTGTGGGTGAGCAATTCTAGCGTGTGTTACTTTTTCGGACAGCCTGCAGGACTTATGTGTGGTTACAATTGCTGCGAGCTTCAAAAAGCTTGCTGGCAGCATCCTACTCTTGGCGGTTGCCGTCGGAAACAACCTGTGTCCCGTTCTTTGATCTTAGACTTGCCTAGGCTTGACGGCTCTGGGCGATGTTATCGAGGCTTTGTCCAAGGCATGGACGGGTAGCTCATGGAAGCACTCTTGCAGTGAGGATCCACACCGTTGCATCCTGCGGCAACCTGACGAGACTGCAAGCTTCATAAGTTTTTATGTCCAGTAGTTCCGCTCGGTCAAGCCCCAACACCGGAAAGATGAAACCCCTCAATCTTGTTCCTGTTTGCTTTCTCTCGTGCCGAAGCAGACTGTTCGGCATTGCGTGACTCCAGCCTACAGCTGTCGGAATTTCCATGCGCTCGCAGGGAAGCAAGACCATTCCCTACCGGAACCACAAACTGACAATGCTCATGCAGGACTCTAGCTCAGCTCGTCAATCTCAGGGTTTCAATCCAGGAATCAACGCTGTTTGCAGCTTCAGCCTAAGATGTGAATTTTCCGGCGGGCGGAATGTTCAGAGAAGTCGCAGACGGTTTTCCGTTGGACTTCGAATGGCTTGAACTTTGTGAAGTCGTGGGCTTATTCTCGGACTGGGATCACGGTAGCACAGCTTTCAAGCCCGAGTTCCTGTACGGCACTGTACGGCCGACAGCAGCCGGCATTGTTGACATGTTCTGCTGCAGCAATGACGGCAAAGCTGTTCGTCCTCCCGCAGAGCCGTGCTGCCTGATAGAAGGTCGCAGAGGCGTGCATCTAACAGAGGATTCCAGGCAGCCGTAGGAGGTCCGCAATGCAGAATCTGCACAGAAGGTCGCTCGGTTTTTCCAATGGCGTGGGTCCAGGCTTGTCGGCTTGCATGCATCCGAACAGTCGTAGCACCTCGTGTTGTCCGACACAGCTATGGATCCAGGACAGCTTGGGAGGATCTGCCAAGACACTTATGCATGAGCCTAAGAGAACCGGTCCTCCAAGGTATGTAAAACAGGAAAACGAACAAATAGATGCAGAAATAGGCAAAACATATATATATATATGTATGTATATATGTATATGCATATGTCATATGTACACTAAGCCGCCAAGGCTTCAAAGAGGGATCTTGAGATTCTGGTTCTGATGTGTTTGGTGTAGATTTGGGGGCGCAGTCTCAAGCAGTTCGAGCCTGCGGTGGAGCCAGAGCTCTGCCATGAGAAGCCCTTTCTCATGATACTGGTGCTACTGCTACACCCTCGTACTGAAGGCTGCTTCGGGCACTGCCTTTGCAAATCGTGCAACCTCTGAAGGTCTCTCACATCTTCCTTCAGCCTGGTATTCCGAGTCCCTTGAATTCGGGTTCTCTTATCTCCGGGCTTTCGCAGGACATCGCCCTGCGCCCTTTTGCCTGGCATTTATCGTTCTGCAGTACTGGAAGTTAGCAAGCTGAAGCCCTTGTAGTGAAACGTGCGCAGCTCCAAGGTTTGTGAACTGCTCCCCCGCGAGCTCCAACTCCGAGGAAACACGCCGCATTGACTTGGACAAGGGTTTAGGGTCAAGCTCAGGGTGAGGGCCCTTCTTAGCCGCTCCGAATCTTGGCTCTACTTGGAGTTCCCAATAGCATGTAGTACGCTGCTCTAGACTCTAAACGAAAAACGGAGCAAGCTGCGAGATTCCTAATTGCAAGACCAGTGTGCAGCTTCAATAAGACGAGCATATCTCCAGACGTACTTCATATGCAACAACAGGTAGCAGCTGTATGACGCCAACTAGACCCATGTGCAAGGGCAAGCTTTGTACGCTGGGAGTCTCTAGCAAGCAGGTGAATGTATCCGGCGGCATGCCGAACCTTCGCAACATAGTGAGGCCTGCTTTAGACTTGAAGCCCTTGTTGGATGGCTGCTTTGTTGGCAGGAGTCGATGATGTCTTTGAAGTGGGCCACGCGAGCCAAGCAGGTTACAAACGATGTGAAGAGGCACCCGGGTGTGCTGGCAAACGTAGACAGGATCGGAGAGCTTTTGGTCATGGTGGAGACTTTATAGTGTGAATCGCAGAGGGTCTCTGGCCGGCACAGCTTTGCCTCTGTCCGCATCGGCCGGGCCACGTGCTGCTGGTTACCAGTCGCAGTTGCCACCTCAAGCTAACGAGAAGCTTTGTTTGGTTCTCGATTGGTCAGGTTAGCGAGCGTCGACGTGAACCCAGTAACCTTGCCATAAGTCAACACAGCTCCGTAAGTGCATCCGTTGCAGATATGGGGGGGTGAGGTGCAAAGAACGGCATGCTGTGTCATACTTGCAGGAATGCAGACAGCAAGGAAGTTGCGCGGCTGAAGCAGGTGGGAAGAGCCAACGCACTTGTTGCTCGTAGAGCTGGCAGCGGGAGAGCCTTCTCCGCACAGCTTGACCTAAGCATTATCCAAATATCTTAAGCTCTCAGTACCGTCTTGTTGAGCGCCACGAGACCTGTAGCCTGGTGCCACATACACGGCAGATGTCTCGCCAATGTCGATCACGTCACTCTGTGCTTGGAGCGACAGGAGCAGTCACTACTGGTAGCATGCGCGCTGTAGCTGATTCGGACATTGTCAGGTCATAGCCCTGATGAGCCAGGCGCAGAATGCACAGGACTTGAGGGCCTAGGATTCTTGGCCAGGGGAGGTCTCCCTTAGTTTATCGGGTTACCACTGATCCTCCAAATTTCGATGACACTCGTGGCATGACTGAGATTAAGCTTTGTGGCCGTGAGGCTTGAGGTGTTTGTACAAATCAGTGCTTGGCAGAAGCAGGGGAATTCCACTATCTGCAAGTCGGTTCGTCACCTTCCAGCTCTCCCTCTCCCATTACTTGCAAAGTTAGCACCACTTGTGCTGATACCGGCAGGGCTAAAATAAAACTTATCCGGGTCAATCTGTAGCCAGATGACCTCGATCCCGAAGCCCGGACTTCTAACGGCGTGAGCTGGCGATTTAGCATGCGTGGTTGCCGGCGATGCCTCCTTCTTTCAATCCTCCAGCATCCAGACCTCAGGGCCTTCGAAAGGGCAACATCAGCATTGGAAGTAGACCTGAAGCCTTGGAGCTGCCGAGCCGAAGCTCTGCACACAGGAGCCTGCTGTCGCAGGAAAGGAGGCAGCTGCAGGCATGGTGTCCTAAGGACAGGCAAGCCGGCAAGCGGCAAGTGTGTGTGCTGAAACTTGGACTTCCGCTTATGGAGTTGGGGATTAAGTCTGGAAACGTCTGCGCGATGGTCTGTCATTCTAGGTTTCCAGGCAGGTATGCCATCATTCAAAACACTCGGAAGTTTCGCAGCTTCTTGTTCTTCGGAGATGATGCTCAGAGCCTATCGCACCAAAGGCCACACCGCCTTTGGGTTGGAGGTGTATGTGTTCGGAACAAAGGAAGCTAGGCGCTCGAACTTCTAAATATCTCTGTTCTAGGTTCTAGGCTCTGGGAACGGCCGACCGAAGCCTTGAATTCATGGTGTCTCACTTCCTCAGGGCGCGCCCGAATCCCCTGCTCCGCCCTCTCCGTGTTTTGGATGTCGAGGGCTCCAAAAATTTAGGAGTTTAGGAGATTGAAGTTTGTCCTGAAAGATGCAGTATACCTTCTTGCTGGGACTCGTTTTGTCTTGCAGCCGGCGTGTTTGGCACCTCTCAAGCAGTCTCACTACTTCTGATACTGCTGTTGAGCTGCTGCTGCTGCTGCTGCTGCTACTACTACTACTACGACTACTACTACTACTTACTCGCATCACTGTTCTGTCTTCGTGGTATACATAGACCGACCTCGGAAGTGCTAACTACTGAGAACTACTGTGCATTGTTATTTTTAACTCGGGTTTCGTGCTATTATGACCTGATTACCAACCTTCCTCCCTCCCGGCCCAAGGTGCATGACTTCTCCTTCTTTTCGTGATTACACGTACGCCCACAAATACTGGGCTTCTTTCGAGTAAGGCTAGCCGTAGTATGGTAGTCAGCTATGAGCGCTGTGCGTCTTATACCACTACTCTGATCACTATTGTTTACCGCCTTTTAGAATTACTGTAAGGCCTTGCAAGGATGAGGTCACCTTTTGGAACTATTACAAGGATGAGGGCTGTGCCCATGCTTACGAGTGTTGCGGTACGGGGCTCTCGTTGAAGAGAGCACACTATGACACCAGGCACATGTGCATTGCGAGGGGCTTCTGCTGGCCATGCTAAAACTCTGACCAGAGCATCGTTCCAGCATTGCTGTCAGTGCTTCATATCATGAGAGCTTGAGGCATCGAAGATGTGTGGTTGGTCTGCAGTCGACTGTTCTATTATGTACTCGTGCTTGTGTTTCTTCATGGCCTGGCGGTGCTGCTTACGGCGACGGCAGAGATCATGATCACACATGATCACGGCGATTGTTGCAATCCTGATTGTGTTGAAGAGTTCAGCGACGCCGTGAGTATGATAACTTGGGTATACGTTGCCGGGGTGATGTGGATACCGTCACGGTGCGATTCATGATGTTAGCAGCTGCTCTAAATCTGTTCCCGCTGTCATTCCACAACCAATAACTGCGGTCGTCATGTCATCGGAATGATAGCGATCGTATTATTACCGTGATCTTGGGGCTGATCTCCTGGTTGCACTTGAAAATGTGCCCAGCGCTGTGCCGCCGGGATGATTAGGAGCATTGTGCAAGCATCATGGGCACTGCTAGCACTGTCAGCCTTTTGTTCATGTGGGAAGGCTGATCAGCATGCTGTAAGAAGAACACCAATTTTTCTCATTGCATGAAGCCAGTGCTCGACCTTCTGTCTCCTGCTCGGGTAGGCTGGCGGGCGCACCTTACGGCTGTGGTATGGCAATTTCCTCAATCGATGGTCTCTTTGGAATCTTCTGCATTGCACATATAGGGTCCATCTTTTGGCTAAACAGTTCAGCTTGCACTTGCCAGACGATGTTGGTCGAGTCGAGATGCGTTCAGGATTGCATGTGATGTTGAGACCAGCTTTGTCTGCATGCCGCCAGATGGTTGCGGAGAATTTGCAAGAAAATACGTACGAATGTCTTTCCCACTTGTTCTGTGCGATATCCAAGAATGGAAATGGTACCATGCTATTCAAGATAACGTGAGTGGCGGTCATCCTAGACTGCGCAGTCAGGCCTGTTTCCGAGACAACTATTGCCTCTCGCGTGAATCAGGAAATTCTCTGTTTCTATGATATACTATTCCTTTTCACTTCTTTTAGTATTATTTGTGGTCTCTTGTCCATTATATAGTGTCCTTTATTATTTATTATAGTATCTTCTCTTTATTCTTTATATGGTTATTAAGGAATTCGGCCTAAGAGATATTTTTTTATCTATTTTCTTCTTGATAGATTTCTTTTTTGTAAATTCTTTTGTCATTATGAGTCATTATATTCGTAGTAGGACTATTGAAGAAAAATCTTGTATTTTCTATTTATTTTTTTCTAATTAATTTAAAATATATTAGAGTGGACCCGTGGTTTCTAATAACGGGAAAAAGGAGTCTGTAAGCCATTTTACTATTAAAATATTTCTTATTTCTAGTAGTGGAGAAAGAGCCCGTAAGTTATTTTATTATTGAAGCGTTATTAATTAGAAGTCTAGACACTTGGCTAGATAGAAATAATACATAGAAAAAGATAGATAGTTGGACCGATAAATAGAGATATATTGACAAATATATAAATAAATAGACATAAATAGACGGATATTCACAAATAGAGATATATATATATTGATATTTATTCTTTTAATTTATATCGGTCTAAAGATTCTTCGATATTTCGGGAGCAATGGTTACTAATAATGCTCGGATCCTTGAAGATTTGTGGGTTCTTATTATGATGGTAATGATAGGCTAGCACACTTGTGGTTTTGTTTCTACAACAATTTGATTTGGTAAGGATTCTTATATGTGTTAAGTTGCTGGACGAGTAAGCTAGAAATTCGATAGCAATTACAACGGAAAAAACATGATTCTTTATACGTATAATTAAACAACAGAAAAAAATATATATATAAATATATTTTCGAACAAATTATGTAAATAACTAGATATTTCGTATTACTATATTCGGATAGCTTACTTTATATTTAAATAATGCTTATCGATTCCCATAATCGCCATATATTAATAAAAATAAATATTTAGCCCAGATTAATAAAGAACAAGTCGATAATTATAATACCTTAAGAAACTAAATTAAATCCACTTTTATATTTCTATTCTCTATTAATCTAAGAAGAAAATTTATCCATCTCGAATAATCTAAAAAATATCGCGAATTTATTTATTTGTAAAAACAATTAAGACAAAAATCGAGATTAAAGATATATAAACAAAAGAGTCAATAAAAACGAATCCAAATATAACGACAAATATTTAAAGCGACAAGCACAAATAGACAAATACGAACAAACAAATACATATATATACAAACAGACAGATACAAATAAACAAACAAATACACAGACAGACAAACAGAAATAGAGAGAGACAAATAAACAAAAATAGACAAAGACAAACAAATAGAGACAGAGACAGACGATAACAGACAGACAGAGACCGAGACAAACAGAGACAGAGACCGATACCGAGACAAACAGACAGACACACAAACAGAGAGAGAGAGACAGACAGAGACGGACAATGCTTTTCGAGCGGCTCTAAAATCGGTCTTCAAAGCCCTAATTTATATCATGCTCCCGATATTTTTACTTCGGAAATTTTATTACCGCGAGCATGCCTACCGAAAATTTTTTTACCGAGAACGTGGCCCCCTCGAGCTACCAAAATTTCCGAAATTTTAATACCGCGAGAATTCCTAAAGCTACCAAAAATTTCGGAAATTTTAGTAGCGAGAAAAAACTGCTCCCAATATTAATATTGCCGCAATTTTAATACCGCGAGACAAACGTACAAGAGGCTTTCAAAAATCAGCGCGCGAAGCGACCAATAAAACACCATTTCATTAGAGAATATATTTAGCATAAGCATATAATAATAAAATAATAAATTCGTATATATACCCACTCCCTCTAATATAATTCATTATTCTTTATATGACATTTCATGCAAAATCCGCCCATTCACCGATCTCTTCTTATCTAATTTACCCACCCCTAATTATCCAAGATACTTTTAAATTTAACAATCTATCTCGACCATATCGCATATCATATCATAGTAGATCTTATTTCTAGTTCTATCGGTTTACATTATATATTCTTGAGGATTTTTGGCCTCCATATTCAGAAATTAAATGTAATATCAAAATTTACGCCCACTTGAGATCTTCAGCGAACGCACGCGCACACTAATTCAGATATCGAATGACTTGTTGGTCCGATCGCCATCATTGAATACTGTGAGAAGTGGAGGATTCCATTTATCATTCGGTCATAAAATACAAGGCAACCAACCGGCTATCGCGGCACAACAACCCAAGCAAAGGGAAGGCAAAGCAATGCTAGAGGCACGACGATCGGAGTTTTGCTGCAATTTTGCATGAGGCAAGTCTTGAACAATGAAGCTACGGTGGGAGACAAGGCGAGTTTGACACTCACGAAACTAGTAAGTAGTGTATGTAGATAATCGGCGACAAATCGGCGACAAATCATAAATGTGTTGCTTT